TCCTCGATAAGAATGATGGAGCAAGATTTATAAGTCACTATGAAATTAATATCTTTAATTATTAAGATTTTTAGTGAAAGCTTATGAAATCATGCTCGGGTTAGGACTTAGATCTTTTGGTTGTCGCTGACGCGAGCAATATTTTTTCGTCGATAAGATTTTTTTTTTCTTTTTTTTTTTTAAATAAGTGAAAACTTCGTGTCCTCAATTCATCTTTTGGCTAATCAACAAATGGCGTCAATTTAAATATATAATACAGATGATTCGAATCAATACAACCACGTAGATCTCAGCTGTCCCATCCCCACCTCGATTAGTCTTCACGGAGGAACAAAAAGCAGGGAACACGATGGACCCACCACCCCCGGCGCCGTCTCCGGGCCCCACGTAGGAGACCGCGGGACAACCGTGCCGGTGAGTCGCGCAGCCGCTGTCCGTCGTTCTCACCGTCGCTCTCCGCTGACCGGTGCACCTCTCTCCCTCTCTCTCTCTCTCTCTCTCTCTCTCTAATGTGGTACTGAACAAACAGTGGACGCACCGATTCCACCCCTTCACGACATCAGGAAAGGAGGAAACGCAGGCTCATCAAAGAAGCAAATATCCGGCGAAATCCACACACAATCTACAAACTACAGCATCTTACTCGTAGTCGTTGAACGTTAGCTGAAGTATGACTTGCTGTTGGCCACCAAGTTGGTTCTCTCTCTCTCTCTCTCTCTCTCTCTCTCTGTGTGTGTGTGTTGATATATATACGTCGGCAAGCGGCAAAAACAGGTATTCCCTTTCGGTAGATCAGTATTCTTTTCGCATACCGTGCTAACATCCACGATGTGAAGGCAACAGTAAAGAGTTCCTTCAAGTTGTTGGAGTCTATTATTGTCCTTTGATTTAGTTGTGCAGACATAATATAATCTTCATCACACAACCACCAGATCACAAGCTTGCCCTACAACAATTGTATCTGGATTCGGATTAGGTAATAGCTCACTGTTCTACTCTCTCTCTCTCTCTCTCTCTACAGAGATAGAGAGAGAGAGAGATAGAGTATAAGAGAATAAGAGAGAGAAGGATGGGAGGAGACAGTGAAGCATGATTTCTATTAATTCCGTCGGTCTCGAGTGGCGGTTTTGAGTAAGTCGGGGGAGGTGACAGCAAGCCCGAAGTGAACAGAAGAGCACACAAAGCATCCAAAGCTCGCATAAAGAACACGAGGAAGGCAACAAAAAGCAAGCAAGCATGCAGCCCATATCAGTCGCCCATTCGTCCGGCCGCGGTGAGGTGATGTCAAAAGGTATAGAAGAGGCCAAGAATAGACGGAGAAGGTTTCCAGCCTTTACTCTTTTCTCTTCCGAAGACTTTCTTCCCCCTGCAACAACAACATTTCAGCCTATTGACTTGATAGGGAACTGTGCTGTGGCTCTTCTCTCTTCGCTCTTTTTGCCTTGCTTTTCCTCTTCTTCTTCTTCTTCTTCTTCTTCTTCTTCTTAACTTGAAGACTGTTGATGGAGAAGGAGAGTTTCATGGACTTGCTGGGCTCAGAGGAGGGAAAGGATCATCTGTTCTCTCCACCCTCTTGTCTCTCATCTCCCTCCTCCTCCTCCTCCTGCTACTCCTCTTCAACGTCAGCACAGATGCTATGGTTTGGTGGGAAGGAGGAAGATGCTGTTGCAGTACTTTATGGGGTTCCTCAGATATCAACCGACTCTTCTCTGTCTTCCCCCTCCTCTTCTCCACCTTCCACCACCATCAGTACTTGCAAGTCTCCAAATAAGGTGAGCCTGACTTCCTCTGCCTATTTATACTTGACATCATGATCGGAAGGATAACAAATGGTTCTGTGACATGCATCCTTTCTATCGATCACCAAGACGAAAGTGGGAAGAGGGCGAAGAACAACAAGTGTGACAGCCACCAAAGTCAACACTACCAAGAAGCCCAAGACAGCAGGCTCATCCTGTCCAGGCACGATCATGGTATACTAATTGTTTATCCCTTTGATATTGCTTTGGTTGTGAAGCAATATATGTGGCAATTAACGCATGTCTCTGTGAGGAGAGCAGGTGAGGAAAGACAAGCTAGGGGAAAGAATTATGGCACTGCAGCAGCTGGTCTCTCCATTCGGCAAGGTAGCCTAATTGATGGCTTCTTCAAAGTACACTGGTCTTAATTAGGTCCCTCATCTGATTTGACTTCGTGGACATGGCAGTCTGATACGGCTTCGGTTCTGCATGAAGCCCTGGGGTACATCCGATTCCTGCACGACCAAGTCCAGGTTGTGTGTGTGTTTTCTTGTACACCTTCCCTCTTTCTGTTCTTATTCTCTCTCTGACACATCTTCTGAACTTGTGCTTGTTCGATTCTTGCAGGTTCTGAGTTCTCCATACCTGCAACGCCTGCCGTCCTCTGCTCACCTGCATGTAACGCGAAGCATGCACACACACACACGCAATCTCTCTCTCTCTCTCTCTCTCACTCTCTCTGACATACGTTGTGAGTTTAAGTTGCTGACGGTTCTGTGATCTTGGAAATGAAGGATGGGAGAGAGAAGAATGATCTGAGGAGCCGGGGGCTGTGCCTGGTCCCAGTGGCGAGCACGGAGCACGTGGCGAGGAGCAACGGTGCCGATCTGTGGTCGCCGGCCGCCCATGGGAAGTAGCAGCAGCAGCAGAGACGCTCCTCCTCTTCCTGGAGTTCGCAGGCAAAAGCCTCGTTTCTTGAAGCTCCTCCTGTTTTGATTTCCTTGCTACCAACAACTCCCTCTCGGGCTGCTCATTCCTTTGCACTTCTCAGTTGCAGAAAGAAAGTATATCGATCGCGCTACGACGTCTAATTCAATCATAGATTGAATTACTGCATATTAGAGTTTAATATAATTTGGAATCTTTTCTGAACCGATCAAAAATTTTGATTATTTATTTCATGCTTAAATTGACGATAGCAATTCTGATTATGGATGTGAGTTCGATTTTGAACAGTAATTTATAAAAAAAAAACTTATCTGCATGCAAACAAATTAATAAGAGTTTTATATACTTATTTATTTTTTTATATTAATAATTAATCATCATGAAATTAATGTAATAATTATGCAAGCACAAGCAAAAGATAAAAAGAATTAATTATATATTACTTCCAATAGTTAATTATATTTAATATTTTGATCCTTACAGTTTAAAAAGTTACGGGATTCTTATATTTATAAAAATAAAATATTTAATTTCGTTTATCTGTATACTGTCGATTTTACTTACGAAAATATCGTACGTGTTTAGTGATAAACCAAAGTGAGACAAGTCCACACATTATCGATTTTACTTACGAAAATATCGTACTGACAAACCTGAAATAGAATCGGCGTGTGTTCAGTGATAAATCTTATAATAATGCTCATGATAAATCATATAATATTTTCATCAGTACAATCGATCACATGCGAAGAAATTATATTTTATTTTCATAAACATAAAAATCTTAATATAATTTTTAAAATTATAAAAATCAAAATATTAAAGATAATTAATTATTTAAAAATATATAATTAATCTAAGAAAAAATATAAGATGGGATTAGATGATCAGAGAACTCGAAGACAAAAGCCATAAGATGGAGCGATTCTTTCAAACATGACAATGCAAACACCGGAAATTGTACGATTGATCGGCACATCATTCATCTCATTGAGCTGAAAAGGGAGAGATGCATTGATTTCGTGCTTTTGTATCGCTTGTCCGAGTAAGTAACTGTCTTAGACGTCATAACTTTGACATGTAGAGGTGACAGTACCCCTTCAATTTAATATGCCAATTCTTTTGTCAGCGACAAGTTGATTTGATGTTGCCATGTTCACATACCTACAACAATTAGAGAGACCATAGATTCGATTCAGCGTATTCGATCTCTCCATCAAAATCTTGTGATAGAAACCAATCCCATCATCTATTTTTACCATCCATGTATATTTTGAAAAATATCTTAGTTAGATTCAAATTTATTGATAGATTAAGATTAGAAATTCAAATATGAAGAATAATACTTAGAGAATTAAGATTTATTTTTATAAAAATATTATGAGTCTTAAGATTATGACGAGAGAAAGAGATTTTATTAATCTTATATTAAGATGATTCTTATTTTTCTCATTCTTTTCTTTCTCATACTAGTAAAATAATACTAGTATTACATCTTCTCTTTTGATTCAAAGCAAGTGATCCTTAATCTTCATCATCACAACAACATTCAAGGGTGCATAATCTAAGATGGTCATGCAAATCTTAAAAAGCATATTTAACATCAACATGGTGTAATCATGTTTATAATGACTTGATATGACCTTTTCATCATGCTTATTATGTATCTCAATCGATAACAAAAATGTCTCTATATCTAGAAATTATAATATATAAGTAGTCTTATATAATATAAAAATAATATTGGTAAATTTCAAAAGATGAATCGTATTTGTTGGCAACATGTTATCGAGTTCATTGAAATTATAATCATCTACCGTTCGATTTAATTGTTTTTTTTTTTTAAAGTCTACTCACCCTTAGTATAATGAGAAAGAAAGATGACATGTGTCGAAATAGAATGAACTTCTGATTAGTCCCACATCAAAAGTTGACATGATTAAGATTGACTTATAATGTTCTAATTAGTATATTATTATTAACTTTTATTTAAGTATGTTGGTCCATAATTAAAGGACCAAAATGGAGTTATTGGCCAGTTGGCTCAATAAACTCCGGATAAAATTAGTTTAAAAAGATTAGTTTAAAAAGATTACATTTGAGATAAAATTTTTCACTCATTATCATTGAAAATCTAATATCTTAAGAAAGTATTTTAATTCGACTCATTTATATACATATTATTATAAATATTTAAAATTTATATTATGCAAGGAGATATTATTTTTATTGATCCGAATGGAAGACGATATCAAATACCACGAAGACGTGCATAACAAAACTTTTATGTGAATAAACAAAAAAAATCCTGTGTTAACAAGTAATCTAAAGATTATATAAGTGAAGCTAAGAATAAAAATCTGTCGATGAGCCCGACCCAACAGGAAACTTTTAGCTCCATGGCGTTCGACAATTCACTTGATTTGATTTGGGTCACGATTGGCTCGAGGGGACTTCTCTCGACTTGATAGGGCGCGGGACCCATGATGGGACCCAGATTTTTTTTCTTCTTTTTCTTCCTTTTTTTTTTGTCTGAGGGACGATGGTGCACGTGGCGCGGCATGAGCATTTGGTGGTTCGCGGGGCCCACCGTGCCTTGTTTATTAGGTGGGCCATGAAGGGCCGCGCGAAGCAAGCGTACGGTCGAATGGACCCGTTTTGCATGCGCGGGGCCCACCGTGCCTTCGTGATTAGGTGGGCCACGATAGGCCTCACGAAGCTACGGTATGTCGGATGGGCATGAGCATTAGGAGGTGCGCGGTGCCCACCATGCCTTGTTGATTAGGAGGGCCACGCAAGCGTTCCGTATGGTCCGACGGCACTTGCGCCCGCCATGTGATTGATTCCCTCTTGATCAGGTGGCGCCTGTCCCCGTGTTGCACACGACGAGGTGGAACGCGGACCCACCGTGCAGTTTCGCAGGGTTTACGTGGTGCAGATGGGGCCAGCCATGTCAGACTGCGCGGCTGTGTCAGCCGTGGGAATCCCCCTCACGCGAACCCTGGGATCCACTCGGTCAAACTTCTCGGTCGTGGGGTCCACCGTGCACAGTTTCGCAGCACTGAACCGTGGGACCCGCTCGGGTCAAATTTCTCGTCCGTGGGACCCACCGTATAAATTTTCACACACCGCCGTACCGAGGGCCCCCCGTCTTGACAATGCCATTGCGCATTTGTAAATGGCGCGAGGGACCCACACAAACGGAAATATAAAGTAGACGTCAACGCTTTCGCCGGAACACCTGTTTCGACGTGAAGTTACCTTCCCACGCACATTCCCCGTGGATGATTACACGTACGTTACCACACATTTTTTGCAATGATAGAAAGTCACAATTTCCTAATCTCGTTCGGATATACTTAAAGTCAACCGCAGGGTTATTTCTTTCTATCACCAACAGTGTAGCACATTGTTGGTCAACCCGCGCGTTGACAAAGCTCATCAAACATCCACATTTTCTTACTCCCAACGCCAAACTTGCCTTTTCCGGCACAACTCCACTGGAGCAACCGAACCAACCCTTAAAGGTTTTTGGCTTATTTATGCTAAGCTCGCTACCATGCTCTTAATCGTCAACACCTTTGACCTAAATCACGTCACCGTGCCCAATTGATTGTTGTTTATGCTTTATGGAATCCGTGCAAGTTGTAATGTTTCATCCCAACAATTCACGTCATCTTCCATCCAATCTCCTAACTCAGTTTTGACGCGGACTCTCGGTCAACTATATGATTCCAACATTAGGCCAACTCTTCCACTGTTCCTCTATCAATGACAAGTAAATTTGACGGATCAAAATATTTACTTGGGTTTCTTGTCTTCTAATTCGATGGCTAACATTCTTATTTGCGGATCCATACAGAATGTGTATGAATGACACAGTCTTCTCTTCCCCGTTTCTGGCAATATGTCGAATCCTACATCCTGATGGAAGTGCGGTTCACACAACTTCATTTTAATTGTCATGTAAAAAGGAAGGTATATAAAGGAAAGAAATGCTTATTTAATGTCTCTTCTCAGGAAATGCTTACAGAGTAGTAGAGAAAAATGTCCCTGTTTGATTGGGGAATTACATTCTGAAGTAACATGCAATACTTTATTGAACTCCTGCTCAGCGGAGTTCTGTAACTCCAGAAAAATTGGAATCACGAGGGAACATTGTATATGTTCATCTGTTTCCATGTCAAATCTGTATATATAGATGTGAGAGATGACCTCACATTTAGACATGCAGAGTAACCTTGTCTTCTGGCTCCAGTTCTTCTCCATGATGCTCGTGGCCCTTCTCGCAGTCTGAGTGGCAATCTGTTCTGCAGATTTTGAAGAACATGCAGCTCATGATGACATCAAGAACAACGAGGAGCGCGTGAAAGTACGTGATCGAGAACGCCTCCCAGAAAAGAGATGAATTCAGCTCCCCTGAGAGGTTGTATTGCCTCACCACCCTGTACTGAAACAAGGCTTCGACGGCAGCCATTCCCAGGTTGGCAGGCAAGGCCAGGCCTAGTGCGGTCATGACCCTTCCCCTGATGAGCAGGCAGGCCTTGAGGACCGGGAGGTAGCCGCCGCAGTTGTCCGTCGCAGAGACCACGATCGCCAGGTTGCAGATCACCGTTGTGTTGGCGACGACGACGGAGTAGAGAACGGCGCCAGCAGCCGAGAGGCAAAGGACGACGTTGCTCGTCGAGAGGCCGAGAAGGTCCACTGCATTGAAGACCAGGAAGAGCAAGGCGAAAGTGCTGGCGTTGGCGGACAGAACAACGAAGGAGTTGAAGAGATGCGTCGGTAGGATCGAGCGGTAGAGGGGGAGGAACGAAGACAACGGAGGCGGGCCTCGTTTACGCCGAGGATCTCGACCCTCGCAGACGACATGAACGACGGACGCCTTGGCTAGCAGCTGGAACGTGAGCACCAGCGGCAGCGTGGAGACGAAGGTGAAAACAGTTTGCGCGAGCTTGACGTTGAGGAGGGAGAAGAATCCCACGGAGGCAGGAAACCTCGCGGCCTGGAACAGCGACCACAGCCGGAGCGAGATGGCTTCGAGGAGCGGCGGAGTCGCGAAAGGGATCAGCGCCTGGGACAGGAGGACGGAAGCGGAGACGGGGAAGACAAGAAGAGCAGCAATGGAGGTAAAAGACTGGTAGCCGTCGAAGAAGGCATTGATGGACCTTCTCACGATCCACACAGCCATTCCCATGGCTTTGCGTCGAAGGTGTTCGAGAATGGTGCGGTGGGGGGGATGGAGTGGTA